GTATTTCCCCGTATTCTTTCTCTAATTGCTTGTTATTGGTATATAGAAAAGCTACTGATTTTTGTAGAATGATTTTATAACCTGCCACTATACTGAACGTGTTGATAATTTCTAGGTGCTTTCTGGTAGAACTTTTGGGATCTCTTATAGTATCATATCATCTGCAAAAAGTGATAGTCTGACCTCTTCTTTTCCAATTAGTACTCCTTTAATTTCCTTCTCCTGTATTATTGCTCTAGTAAGAATTTCAAACACTATGTTGAAAAGGAGTGGACATAGAGGACATCCTTGTATGATTCTTGATTTTAATGGGAATTCTTCCAGTTTTTCTTCATTTAGAATGATATCGGCTGTGGGTTTGTTGTATATAGCATTAATTATGTTGAAGTATGTTCCCACTGGTCCAATTCCCTCTAGGACTTTGAATATAAATGCATGCTGAATTTTGTCAAAAGCCTTTTCTGCATCTATTGAGATGACAATATGGTTTTTGTCTTTGAGTCCTTTTATATGATTAGTGATATTTATTGACTTGTGTATATTGAACCATCCCTGCATCTCTGGGATAACGCCTACTTGATCATGCTGAATGATCTTCTTGATGTGTGTCTGTATGCGGTTTGCAAGTATTTTGTTGAGAATTTTTGCATCTATGTTCATTAAGGATATGAGTCTATAGTTTTCTCTTTTGGTTGTGTCTTTACCTGGTTTGGGTATTAGAGGGATGTTGGCCTCATAGACGGAATTTGGGAGTTCTCCCTCTGTTTCTATCATTTTGAATAATTTACGTAGTATTGGTTGGAGGTCTTCTTTAAATGTCTGGAAGAATTCTGCTGTAAATCCATCTGGGATTGGGCTCTTTTCAATCGGGAGGCTTTGTATTACTGTTTCAATTTCCTTATATGTTATGGGTCTGTTTAAACTGTTGATGCTTCTTGATTTAACTTTGGAGGTTCCCATGATTTCGGATATCCATCCATTTTTTTAGACTTTCAGATTTAGTGGCGTATAGGCTTTTAAAATATTCCCTTGTAATGGTCTGGATCTTTTGGGTGTCTGTTGTGATATTTCCCTTTTCATTTCTGATTTTGTTGATTTTGATTTGCTCTTTCTTTTTTTGGTTAACTGTGCTAAGGGTCTGGCTATCTTATTTAGCTTTTCAAAGAACCAGCTCTTAGATTCATTGATTCTTTGTATTGTTTTGTTTCTATTTCATTAATTTCTGCACTGATTTTTGTTATTTTTTCTCTTCTGCTGGGTTTGAATTTCATTTGTTCTTGCTTTTCCAGTGCCTTGAGTTTCAGCGTTGGGTCATTTATTTGGGCTCTTTCCAATATTTTAATCTAGGCACTTAGAGCTATAAATTCCCCTCTTAGGACTGCTTTTAATGTGTCCCAGAGGTTGTGTTGTGTTGTATTGTCCTTTTCATTGAATTCCAGGAATTCTTTTATTTCTTTCTTAATTTCTTATTTGACCCACTCATTGTTTAGGAGTGTGTTGTTCAGTCATCACGAGTTAGTGTAGTGCCTAGGGTGTCGTCCAGTGTTGATTTTGAGCTTTATTGCATTGTGGTCTAATAGAATGCATGGAATTATTTCAATATTTTTGTATTTGTTAAGGTTTGTTTTGTGGCCCAGTATGTGGTCAATCTTTGAAAAAGTTCCATGAGGTGCTGAGTAGAAACTATTCCGTTCTGTTTGGGTGGAATAATCGAAAGATGTCTGCTAGGTCCATTAGATGTATGGTATCATTTAATTCAGACGTCTCTCTGTTTATTCTTTGTCCAGTTGACCTGTCTAATAGAGACAGTGGGATATTGAAGTCCCCTACAGTTACTGAGTTGGGATTAGTCTGTATCTTAAAGCCCTGTAGTGTTGTTTTTATGAATTTGGGTACACCAGGATTTGGTGCATATATGTTAAGGACTGTAATATCTTCTTGGTTAACTTCTTTTGATCAGAATGAAGTGACCCTCCTTATCTCTTCTGATTAGTTTTACTTTGCAGTAAACACCTCCAGTGTTGATAATCTGTTTTCCATTTCATTCATTCTAGTGTTGAGGCTTTCCCCTGTTGTTTCAAGTTGGCTTATTGAGTTTTGCACTTCCTTCTTCATTTCTACCTGAGTTATCTCCAATGTTTCTATCTCTTTTGTGAATTCATTCAGAAGCATATCCCCATCTTCTTTTAGCTCTTTGATTTGTTTGTTCATGTGTTTTTTAAATTCTTTGAATTCCTTCATCATGTTTATGATTGTTCTTTTAAATTCAGTGTCCAGGATTATCTCTAGAGGGTTCTCCTTATAGAACTCTTCTGCAGGATGTGGGGTTTGGTGGGGACATAGTGTTTTTGCTTTCCACTTTATTACTCTTTCGTTGTGGTTTTGGCATGTGAATTTCTTTTGTTGTTTATGATTCTGATATTAGAATTAAGTTGAGGTATGCTTCTGTTTGTGTTATCCGGGTGCCTAGATCCTTTCTTTATTGTTTATGTAAAGCTGGTTGGTTCAGGTTCTCTCAGATTTATTTTGGAGGGAAATAATGGCTTCAGATCAGCTATTCAGGGGTACCCACAGAGGCCCGATTCACATCCCTATCAGGAACAGTCAGGCTTCCTTCATCCCGTGGAGGCAGGATCCAGGCTCTCTCAGGCAGTCCTGTGCCATGTCAGCCCTCTGCCAGAGGGAGGCCAGGGGGGGCCCAGAACTCAGCACTCTCTAGTGGTCTGCTGAGATCCCAGACTTAGCCTACCAAAGGCAGATCTGCCCTGGTGTCTTAGGTGGAGCCTCACCAAATCCCAGGTAGAGGGATGGTATGGAGCAATTAGGGGAAGCTTACCACTATGTGGGAGCAGGAGCTGCGCTATCAAGCTGTCCCCTGCGTTCTCAGGCCCTCTGCTAGTTGGAGGCCAGAGGGAGGCCAGAACCCAGCACACTCTGGTAGTCTGCTGAGCTCCCAGCAGCTACCCCAATGGAAGAGATCTGAACCCACCCTCTCAGGCTGTCTGGTAGGATCTCAGCCTTAGCCTACCAAAGCCACACCTGCCCTGGGGCCTTGGGAGGGGTCTCACAAAATCCCAGGTAGGGGGATGGTATGGTACAATTAAGGGGAGCTCACCACTACAGGGAGGCAGGATGGTGGTGGGGCTGTCAGGCTGTCCCATGGGTTCTCAGGCCCTCTGGGAGTTGGAGGCCAGAGGGAGGCCAGAACCCAGCACATTCTGGTGGTCTGCTGAGCTCCCAACTTCTACCCCGATGGAGGAGGTCAGATGCTTGTTTTATTTTTTTTTTTAATACCTAAGATGGCTTTGGTTATACAAACATTCATTTTAGTCAGAAATGAGAGAGGGGTTCAATGTGAGTCCAGTAAAGAAGAATTTTAGAGGATATCAGTGGACATATTGACGACTTCATTTTGAAAATTCTCTCAGATCCATAATTCTCTCTATGACTGCCTGAAAACATTAAACCAAGGTCTTGCTCATTCTCAATATATATATAGAGAGAAAAGCAAGTTTCTGGTCATGTCTTCTCTTGTCGTAACATATCATTAGGTGCGGCATAGTAGAAACAGCTTTTTTGAAAGTAGAAGGAAGAGCACTCAAATTACCTTCTTGGTCTTTTTCTCATTCTAGTGTCCATGACAATTCACATATTATCAATGCCCTTATTGTTTTCTTTTGGTTCCTTATGAAAATATAAAACAGAGATCATGTCTCTTACTTCACAGAGTTGCAGGGTTCCATCTTTTACGAGTGATGCACTTAGGAGTGTTTCTAATGTATACTAAACATTAAGTAAGCATTTTCTCCCTCCATCAATGGAACTCATCAAATTTATATTTCATTCCCATCTTGCCTTTATAGTCATGTGAACTAGGAACTTCTCTAGACTCAACACTGTATAAAAAGAAGATAGGAGAATACAAACATTTTGAGATTTTATTGAACATTATAGCACAGTATGTGTGGTGATTTGAATGAGAAGTGGCCCCCATAGGTGCAAGTATTTGAACTTTGTCCTTGGTTGGTGGCACTGTGTGAGAGGCCATTCAATCTTTAGGAGGTGTAACCTTGCTGAAAAAAGCATGTCACTGGGAATAGACTGGATTCTCTTCCTGTTTGTGCTCTGTCCTTCTTTCATGTCCGCAGAGATGTGAGCTCTGTTTTCTGCTCTGGCTGGCTCCTGCCATGTTTCCCTCACCATGATGGACTCTCTCTGGAACTGTAAGACAAAATAAAGTCCTTCTTCTATATGTTACCTTGGTCATGATGTTTGATAACAGTAACAGAAAAAAAAAACTAACGGAGTACGCATAACACATGGTTTTTCATAAGACAATCGGCATAAAATATTATTGTAACTCTTGAATTCCCTTCACTACTTCCTAACGCTAGTATATGCAGGATGTAAACAACACAGTTACCTTCCACACTTCCCTTCTTCAGCAAACCAAACCCTTCATGAAACTGCACATAAAGGAGACCAGCGAGATGGGTCAGCAGATAAGGGCACTTGCTGCCAAGCCTGATGACCTCAGCTTAATCCCCAGAACCCACATGGTGGAAAGCAGTGTACTGACTCCCACAGGTTGTCCTCTGACCTCCACCAGTGCACCATGGCACACATATTCCCCAGAGTTATACACACAGAGAGAATACATAAATGCAAATTTAAAAACTTAAAAAGAGAAATGCACAGAATATTTCTAACAATGCATTTACTTGTGATGGATTTCAGCATTTTCTTTAAATCATTGTCATGGCCAAAAGAAGAAAAGATAAAGGATATGGACTTCAATAAGTAATGATGTGAAATCAGTTAGTGTTTTCTAAAACTTTTTCCATTCCTTTCAAAAGTCAACTACACTCTAATTTTGGTTCATTATACAATGATAAGTTCATCAGTAACGAGGTTCATTCATATTATATGGCAAGTATTCCTCCCAGAAAGGAAGACACTCAAATGCATATGTGTGAATGTCTTCAATATACAGTTAAGTGATTGTTTTTTGGTTCATAAGCGTGATGATTGGGTGTTCACACGGTTGTGTGGCATGTGCCGCCCTCAAACCTTGTTACACATCAGCACATCATCCATCTGACATGAACTTAAAAAAATGTATACAGGTGAATGAGACATTGAATCACTTGCCTGAAAAATTCTGATGCAACATAGTATTTCATCATGAAATGTGATTTTTTTTCCAAATTTCAATTGGAATGTCATAAAAATAAAAAAGATCTTAATACGATGCGCTGGCACACTGTAAATGAAGATAGATTACAAATAAAGACTCTTTACGATAATATAATTTTTAAATTGTTTTACGCAGGTGTGGTGGCACATGCCTATAATCCCAGCACTCAGGAAGCAGAGGAAGGCAGATATCTGTGAGTTTGAGGTCTACATAATGTTCTAGGTCAGTCAGGGCTGCACAGTGAAACTTTGCCTCAAAACAAAAAATAAAATTATTAATATCACAGTAAAATTAAAAGAAAAATTATATCCAAATAATTGTCATTATTTTACAGTTATGCACCCACGGGCTACAAAACATAGGAAATAGTAACCATAAAGGGAAAAGGTTGCTTACAACTTAGAGATACCACCCTTAGTATAAGTTGGATTTTATGTTAAAAAAAAGAACCCACAATTATTTTCACTTGACAAAGCAAGAGCCCAATTATATTAACTGATGATTTGACAGGTTGTTATCACAGAACTAACTCAAAAACACACTAGTTTTGCCATTTTGTGGCAAGGGATTTATATGACTCCACTGGAAAGAATTTCTTCCTGAAGGAAAAAAATATTGCATTCCTCTGCTAAGTCAAAATAAACTCCAACTCCTGACATCATATTAATGCTGTTTAGATATTTCTGAAAGTTAGTCAACAAAAGGAAACATACAACTATACAAAGATTTATATACACACGATTACAGCAGCTTTGTAAATAGACCCAGGCTGAAAAACAACTCAAAAGTCCATCAGTAAGAAATCTTAAGCAAATTGCAGCATATACAATAAAAAGAATTATTGATATGCATAGCAACATACATGACTCTCTTAATTATATGAAAAGTGAAAACAATGAGTACATTCAAGGAAAATCCACAGATAAAAAACAAAAATTGCAAAGTAATCTGTAGTCATGGAAAGCAGAGTAGCAGTTTCTGTAGGGAGGGAGAGGGAATTGTAATGGAGGTATTCTGAGACCATTTGGGATAGGTGGATTGGGTTGGATGGATGATAAGGGATTGGGGGAAGGATAACAGAGCAGAACTAGAAAACCTTGAGGGTTTTTAAACTGATATTGTCTTAATTATGGTGACATTTTCACAAATATGAACTATTATCAAAATGTATATTATAAATACAAACAGTGCAATATATCATATATCAGTTATAGTCCAATTAAGTTACCAAGAAAGAGCATATCCTATATCTAGCTCATCTTTATTTTAGTTAAAATATGAGTTGGAAGCACATTCAATATACAATGTGTGCTTGAATGAAAATGATCTTATGTGACACCATTACCATGTACAATGAAGTTATACAATGAAAACTTAAAAAGTAAAAGAAATAAAAAAGTTATGAAATAAGTTAAAAATAAACTGAAATTCTAAAAATAAAAAATTAAAATGTTACTTTGTGGTTATTTGTGAAACTTTTGGACCTTTTGTGCCTTTGTTATATGATGCGTTATAATCAACTTCTTCAGAATTTTCCATTCCTCCAGAAGGATAAAATAAATACACGATTGTTTTATTTTTTTTCTTGCTCTAAAACTAACAAACTTATTTTTAAATTTTTATTTAGTTAGTTCACTTAACTTTTTACTACTTGCTTGAGAATTTTATACATATATAAAATGTGTTTTTCTCAAATCTACCCCCACTCCCTCTCTGACTCTTCCCATAACACCACCAATTTTACCCCCATTTAAGATTTGTGAACATATCTCATTTTCCGCTTTTCAAAGTGATCTTTCTATGTGACCGTTGTTTGAGTGTCGTGTCTACAAAATTCAGTGCTTTGCTCTTGTGTACAAACACATGCACACACATCAACACATGCCGTCTTCATAGTGCTGAAAGACTCTCGCATTTCTCAGATCTTTTCCTTTCCTTCTCTTGTGTTCTTCTTTCATCTACGAAATTTCATAAAACCAGCTGGTTGAAGTTACTTGGAAATTTCCGTTTTGTGCCAAAAGACTGAAAATGTTTCCTTCAAAAGGATGTTGAGGTATTCAGTGATTGTTGCGGTGAATCATATTTTCAGGCTTTCTCACATTAACACAAGTGTGGCCTTGGAACATGATAAAATAAATAAGAAATATTGCTCATTCTGTATCTTCTCAGGATTAGATATTACTTATTTCTACATAGATAAAGATTCTTATTATGTTTCTGTAAGTATTTGATTTTTGCCTTGATAATGTGGTATGATATATATAAAAATTTGGAATAGATGGATAGAAAGAGCTTTAGAAATGGTTTGAAAGAGGGAATATTTATAAAACATCAAAGATTCATTCTGAATGCCTTATAATTCTTACCAAGAACTGTAGTCTCTCAATTATTAAAACAGCAGATTTATTGAAATATAATTCAAATCATACAAAATTGAACCTTTAAAAAAGTGCAATTCAATGCTTTTAGTATATTTGGAGTTATGTAAAATATCATCAGCCACCTATTTCCCCAGAACACTTTAGAAATAACAGAAAAGAAACCTGAATTCACCACCAGTCGCTCTTTAAAATTTCTTTTTGGGGCTGAAGAGATGGCTCAGGAGTTAAGAGCACTGGCTGTTTTACAGAAGACCGAGATCAAATCCCATCATCCACATGGCAGTTAGCAGCTATACGTAACTCCACTTCCAGGGGATCTGATGCACTGTATGATATGGGTGCACTTACACACGTGCAAGAAAAACACTTATCCATAAAATAATTTTTCTTTACTTTTGAAAATGTCATACATGTATCCAATGAAATATAATCATACCTACCCCCATTCCTCCCTCTTATTCCTCTCCTATCCTTCCAAATGCCCCCTCCCAATTTCATGCCTCTTTTATTTGATAACCTACTAAATCCATTTAGTGGGGCCCATATGTTGATAGGTGTGGGATCGTCCACTGTAGCATGAGAAACCTACAAGTGACAGTAACAACAGGAAGAATGATTCTCCCTCGCCCAGCAACTACCCTCTGCCAAAATGTCCTCAGGAGAAGGGGGTGGAAATCATCTACCCCTCTCTGGGATTTTGGCAAGCTTTATCTTGTGTAGGTTTGTGCAGGTAACCATAGCTGCTATGAGGTCATGATGACATTAGGCATGCCAATTCCAGAAGACATTTCCCCGCACTCCTTCTCATCCTTCTGTTCCATTCTTTCTGCCTCCTCTTCCACAATACTCCATGACTGTTGGTTATAAGATCTGTATTAGCCACTTTTCTGTTGCAATTATAAAACACAACCAAAAGAGCTTATAGAGGAATGAGTATTTGTGGTTCCAAAGGGATAAGACGCCATCATTGGAGGAGGGGGGGCATGGCAGCAAGTGGCAGGTACAGCAGTGGAGCTGACAGATGACATCTTTCATTGCAAACATGGAGCAGTGGGTATGGAATGGAGCCGGCCTGGGTCTGCGAGATGAACTGTGTGTGCTGTGGATGACAGGAGAAGTGGAGTTGCCAAAAACCTTTGGACTCCAGAAGATCGTGAGTGAATCCCAGATGTTCAGCCTTGAGCTACATTGCTGGACTTAGGTTTTGCTTTGGTGTGCCCGATTCTTCAGTTTGAAATAAGACAGTACTTGTTTTGGTTTTTACAGGAGCCCACAATCATGAGATTTTTAAAAGAGACTGTGAACTTTAAGGTGTTTGGATGGGACTTTTAAAGATGTGTTGTCTTATGTTGTGACATTAATGTTAACATCATATCTTGGGGACAAGAAATGGAAAGGTTGTGCTTTAATAGTGATGTGTTTTGTGTGTCAAGTTGACAAGGGGTCAGTTGTGCTGGATAGCTTTAGCGTCAACTTGACACACTTGGGTAGAGGGAGCCTCAACTGGTGAATTGTCTCCATTGGACTGTCCTGTGGCCATGTCTGTGGGACATCTTCTTGATTATGGAGTGATGTGGGACAGCCCAAGCCCGCTGTGGGTGGTGCCACCCCTGGGCAGGTGGACCTTTGATGTATAAGGAAGCAGGTTGAGCACGGGCCAGGGGAGCAAGCCAGTAAGCAGCATCCTCCGTGGCCAGTGCTTCAGTGACTGCCTCCAGGTTCTTTCCCTGAGTTCCTACATTGGATTTCCTGATAAACTGTGACCTGGGAGATAGACAAATAAATCCTGTCCTCCCCAAGTTGGTAGTGATCAGAGTGTTTTGTCACAGCAATGGAGAAACAAACTAGAACACCATGTCTGGTGGCTTACAACTGCTATTAACTCTAGTCTGATGTTCTCTTCCAGCCTCCATAGGCATCCACATGCACATTTGAATACATACATACAGACATTCACACATGCACATTAATTAAAAATAAAAAAAAATTAACAAAAAATGCTATCTCATCATCAATAAGTTTTTCCTTTTTTTCTCATTTTTCTTTATTTGGTGTTTTTGAAACAGGGTCTTCCTGTAGCCTCAGCTGGCCTGGAACTCACTATATAGACCAGGCTGGCCTTGAACTCACAGAGGTCTGCCTGCCTCTGCCTCCCAAATGCTGGAACTAGAGTCTTGCACCACCGAGGCCTAAACAACTGTGGTTTTAAAACTTCCTCAAGTAATTCAGATTCACATTGAATTTTAGAAATAAGGGCTGGGGATAAATAATCTGCTGTCCTAGCACATGTGTTCTCCTTGTGGCTCAGGAACAAATTTTCCCTGTGATTTAAGTGAGTTATTTCATATTTCTTGTGCTTAATTTCCTTGTCTACATGATGAGATGATGTCCAAGGTCTTCATTCTCATACCATGGCTTCCTTCCTGAGCAATATTTCTCCTGTTCATTTACTGCAGTACACATTTGGTATTTTGATTGCTGTATTATTTACTTTATTCAAGCACATGGTGATTTTCAAATTGATT